TAGTAAGTACATAGTGTTGTGTGACAGTAACCAAAACTTTCTAATCAAGCTGTCTAACCCTTAGATAACTAAGAAAATCCCCAGCACCTGATTGTGTCTTTGAATGGATGAAACAAAGAAATCTACATGTTAGCTGGCAGATGATGAGGGTGAGCACTTATGTGATTATATTCCCCAAAGATTTACAGCATTTTTATAGCACCTGTAAATTGCCAGACTGGTAAATCTGATCACACACTGCGAAAGAAATTTGACCTTTTTAACATTAATCTAAAATCAAACTTAATTTAAAACTTAAGATTGTCCGAGCGACTAATGAAGATCGGCTGTTTAACATGCATGACATGAAAACAATGTGATCCACAGTGTTGAAGTTTATAAGACTCACAGATAATAAATTTGATTGTACATCTGTGGTTTGCAGTTTGATTTATGCCAGAGCACTTATGCAACATGTTTAATATAAATCAGTTTTTTCGAGATATCAGAAATTACCTTTTCAACGCTAAGCTAATCACTTCTATAGATCCATGTATTAAGTTTCTTTGAAATATGCTAACTGGTTACTGAGATTAACTGAGGAAAAGCTAAACATAGGCCAATTTATGCAATTTCGACAACTAATTGATATACACAACCAAGTTTCATTGAAATGTGATTATTAGTATTTGAATTATCAGTGAAAAAGCCAAAAATTTACCCATTAATATACAAATTAGATAATTATTAAGTGGTTTTTGTTCCCAATGTTTTTGTTGTTTATTGCATACATTTTAGAAGCACTCTGCAATTTAGTTGTCTTCATTTACAACTACATGTAGTTGTATTTTGTATTCTGTTTAGGAACTTTATAAACTTAAACACAATACTTAATGAAAGATTGTACAAAATGAAGGAATTAGCGTTCAGACAAGGACCAGGCCAGGAATAACATGCATCATATAAGTAAGTACAGTAAGTATACAGAAAAGAAGTACATTAAATATAAAAACAAAAGAAACGCTTTATTTGAACTCACCTTGATGTGGCATCATTTGTCTTGTAAAACCCACTGACTGCAGAAATTCCTCGCTACCTTCAATACAAGCTACCTTATCTTGAAATGCTTTGTTCTGTATTCTGATCTTTGTGTATTTTTCTTCACCAGGATGACTGATGATATTGTCAAGATACCTAGACAGGTACACAGGGCATGACAAGTTACTTTTATTGATTTTGAAAAATGGAAAGTATGATGAATTATAGATTATTCGCTGAATAAATTGTTCCATCAAACAAAGAAAAATTTCAACCGAAGATACCAGTACCCAAACTGGTTTCCATGGTAACTTTCAAACAGCTAGACACCAAGAATAATTTAGCAAGTTTACAGAAAATCCTTGCATTAAAAGTTAGCTGCAACAATTTAACTCATTGAACACCAACATTAACAGAAAGAGCAAGTTGGGTTACCCAAGTTATTTTGAATCTCATTATAATCATAAAATTTGAAGAATATATATATACAGTGTGGGGACAAGGTTGCATTAAAGTGATTGAAATTAAATTATTCGTTCAACTCTTTCCCGCTACTGTCAACTTTTGGCAGCATTTACAAAACAGTTTACTCTAGAGTCTGCTCTTTCCCATGTAAAATGTTTGCATCTTTTAATTAAAATCTACTAGTAGTCTCAGAATGTCCAAATTAAAACTAAAAGCAATGGAAATAAAAAAACACATTGAATTTTGAAAAACAAATGAATAGATATTTATTTTTCTCATATAATAAATGTACTACTGGTATATTTGTTTTATTAGAATTTGGTATTTCAGAAGCATCCAATTCCTAGGCCAACTTTTTTAGAAATGCCTTAGTCATGAATGATATTTAAAAACATTTTGAATGCCCTTTTTGAACATCCTATGGGATTCAAGGAATATTAAAGAAATTGACCCGTAATCTGTAACCGGTAATCTGTTAGACAAACAAGCATATGCACCACCATGTTAGTCTATTACTACGTTCACGTACGTTACGGGATCTCAGCAGATGCCAAAATTTTTAATCCTTTGTGTTTGCAGAGGAATTACAGCAGTTGCGTTCACGTTATTCGGGACCCATTTAGAACTCCTCGGCTCAATCCGAAATCACGCCCTCATTCGATGATCTGTTATTTGGCCCAAACATGGAAAACGATACACATATGATGATAATAATAATTGCTATACTGAAATTATATCCATTTGTTGATATGGTATTTATTACGAGTCATCGTACACATGAACACATGATTCGAAAAACGATTATTTTTTTCATGTCAATTTAGCATTGCAAGAAAATAGCGGTTGCAGCAGCACAGAAATATGCTTTGCATTGATTTCATTCATTACTACAGCAACCGACCATATACTAGTATATCTGCATTTCTTGTCATCGTCATTTCATACTAGTATGATTCAGCATATGTTCTCTTAAATTTACCACAAAGGGCGCGATTTTGACTCATGCTGAGCGTTCAGGCAGCAAAACTCGGCATGTGCTGAGTTTCGGTTCCAAGCATCTATCGGGATCGAGATTTTTTCGGCACATGTCGACTCGGCCCCGACCGTTCACACATAAGTTTCGGCAAGTGTCAACTCGATCTTGAGTCTCGGCAAGTGCTGAGATCTCTAACATGAACGCCACTTATATGAAAAATTTCAGATAAAATACTTACTTGCATATCGTGTCAATTCCTACTTTCATTTTTTCTCTGTCTTTGTTCAGTGAATGTATCATTGCACAGGAGGCCTGGATAGGGTCTTCAGCTAATTTCTAAGAAGAAAAAAAAAGGGGGGGGGGGGTAATTAAAAGTACAAGATCATGATGCATACACTGACCGTGTCAATATGCCAGATGCAACCATGTGTGATGGATACAATCATATACTGTGGCTATATCGATATGATGGATGAAACCAATAACAACAATGACGCGTATTGTCTAAATACCCAGGTATCTAATGGTAATCTTAAGCTTCACCCTGAGCACCACCCTAAGCTTTTAAACTGCAAATTCAATCAGGGAAGTCAGGAAACACCATGACAATTTTTTAAGCAGTGAGCCTTTTGTTTCGAGTCTTCAAGACTTTTGCAAAATTTTAACCTGAAATTGCAACAAGTTTTAAACATCATGAAGTAACACCTATAGTCAAAGTAGATACTTACAAGTAAGAGGCATTCCTTGATATGTGATTCTATTTGTGACCTCGGAACACGTTGTGGACTGAGTGAACAATAGAATTGTACTTTCTCCACTGACAATAGTGGTGCACTCTCGAGCTTTGTTTCTCCTGGACCAGACTGAAAAATATAACACCAATATTCAGAACACTCATAAAATATTGAATCAAGTTTTGAGTTCACTGGTCACTAGATTACTGAATAATGCCAGAGTAGCATTTTATTGATTTCATTGCATACAAGTGCATGTGTATACACATCAACATCTTGAGTGTGCTTATATCAGAGCTTTTTTTCAGTCATTTTCTTTTTTGTATTTTTTTGCTTTTTAATCACTTGATTCACAAATAATAGTCATTTTTGATGAAATGTAAATGGCCAACAACAAGAAGCTGACAGTATTTTACATGTTTGCCACAATCACAATTAATTTTTATTTTGGGCCTAATATACAATATGGTACATGGTAAGAAGAGAGGTTATGACAATATGGATGAAGCCATGTGATATTTTGGATGCAGTGTGTCGGTGAACACATTGGATTATGATTTATCTTAACTAAAAGCTTCATTCTTGTAGCGCACAGCTGATTCATATTTTGAATTAATAGTGATATTCAGTGCCAAGTTAAATTTCTTGCCATTTAGGGTAGAGGTTCATCATCAGAGATCATACAAGTGAAATTTCTCAGTAAGACCTAGAATATATTAAGGTTCTATAAGTAATTACTGAAAGCAAGATGAAGACCCTTTATCCATATACAGTGTCATTGTCTACAAAACAAACCTGTTGCCGAGACAGAGCTGCAGCAGCTTCTGCGGCAGCTTTTTCTTGCTCCATTTCTCGTCTCACTGAAAATAAAAATTTATGTTAGTTCACATGAGAAGCTAAGAGCACAGTTATGGCATTAAATTACATAATTGCACTCGCCAAAAAAAAACTATATGTAGATTTTGTTGTATGCATGCAGACTTTTAACAAATGAGACATTACAAAACAAAAACTTGTGGACATAGAACAAAGTTGTATTGATGTAGTACTGATAGCTTCATACTACTAATAGCATTTGTTTCAGATAAAATCACTCAGCATTACACCAGGAAGACATTCAATTTGAAAAAACTAAAATAGAGACAGCCAAACTTTCATAACCATGACAAACACCATAAATCTCATATTCAATATGCTGTTATCTACCTTGTGCTTGTATCGCTTTCCTAGATGCACTAATTGGTTCCTGTTTTTTTTGGTCAATTCTTGTCAGTGCAGCTTCACCAGCCTTCATGGCACCGGCTGATTTTGGAGGTGGTGGTTGCTTTGCGACAGGCTGTGATGTAATGACACCCTGTGAACTAAATCATGGTATCAAGATCAATTTGACATGTACATACAAGGACTCGCATGCAAATTTCATAAATGGGTGAACAGATTGAGCATGGCAGCGAGGACCCACTGACATTATGTACGGATTTCTGAGTTGTTGCATGTAACACGATTAAAAAAACGTAAAGGGAACACAAATTCTGCAGTTTTTGTCAGAGAATATTTCACGAATTCACATTTAAAAACAATTTAAATCAATATTTGTGAGTGTTGATGGCAGTAGAATCCATGCAGCCAATCAACAAGCATATTGTGCAATGACGTAATTTGAAAATGTTCTAATGTTATGCCATTGGTCAATAGCATCCTCTCATTTCAGTTTGAATTGTGATATTCATAAACAATTATAATCAGGAAAAATATTGATTTTTGTTGTTGATACATTGATAATTAAAATATACATTTTTATAAATCAAAATGAATGATTGAATTCAAGTTGACCAATCCAGAAATGGTATTGTTAATTAATATTAATGAGACAGTTCAAAATCATCTAATCATGCAGCAAGCACCTCAATTTGAATAGGAGGGCAGTTGCAGCTGCTATGACATATGAAAGAATGCGCATACATTATGGGCATCGACATTATTAAGCTATTAAGCCAATCACTATTAAATATTTGAATTTGGATGAAAACTGATGACCCACTGATTTTTATAAATATGTTTATAAGCAAAGCCCCATACAAACAGTTATGTTTTATAACTTTCAGTTAGTTGAAAACAACTTGACCAATCACAATACACTAATGAATGTATAACAGAAAGTGGGCCAATAATTAACTGAAAAAACATCATGGGTCAAAAGATTTGTGGGTAGTGGGTGTTACCTAATGGCTTCTACAGCCTATTTAGAAGTTTATTTTTTTTATTTGAATGAAGCATAAGGGTCTTTCAGGGTAAATACTTTTTAAAATTCTATGAAAAACATTTATTCTTTTATGAAATTCATCGTAGATTTTCCAAATTTTTTGTTTATTCAGCTGAACATTAATATTGGGTAGTACAGTGCAGATAATAGGTCTGTTCAAGGAGCTCAATGGTAAGTTATATTTCAAGACCTCGCATACAGACATTTTAATTAATTAATACTCAATTGCCACAGTCGTAGCAAGGTTATGTTTGGTAAGTTCACATGCACGGAATATAATAATAACTTTATTACACAACTAAATCATCAGAGGATTTAGTAAGGTAAAAAGAATAACAAGACATAAATAAAATGTAATGAAAACTAACAATAAAACTGAAAAAATAAAGAAATATAAAAATAATAATTTCAATGTTCTTGGAACTTTTAATCAGGAGATGTATAGATACTAGTAGTATCTTTAAGGTATAGTGAAGGGGCTTTTGCATTTTTCATTACCTCAAGAAAAATATCATCTGGTAAAAATTAGACTTGAGATCACAATCTTCAAAAAGTCTTTTCCTTTCACTTTTAAAAGAAGGACATTTAAGGAGAATTTATGTTACATCTTTTACATGTTCTGTCATCTAAAAAAATATTTGGTTTGTTCCTTCTCTCTAGTTCAATCTCTAGATTGTGATCAATGAGTCTAAATTTACTTAACAATTTTCGAAGGTTGAAATTATTTATATTTTTCAGATAATTTTTAAACTCAAAATTGTTTTTAATAATGTGTGTAAAACAGTGTTTGTTGACTTGAGATTCAAACATGACCACAATGTATCATTTGCCTTAATTTGATTGGTGAAGTGTAGTTGCTACCATTTTCAAGTTATTGTTCACAGGCCTGCAAAGTGATTTAATTTACAAAACAAGCCAGCTGACGTCAGGGCTTACGTATTATCAACCAACATCAGTGTTTGTTTTCCAGATTATTTAAAGCAACTGTCTGAATTTTCACAAATTAGCAAAAATACATATAAATATATATATATATATATATATATATATATATATATATATATATATATATATATATATATATATATATATA